ATATTAATATATTTACAAAATTAATGAAAATAAATTTTAGTATTTATTAATTTATAAGAATGCTTAATTTAAAAAACTTATTTTTATTTTAATTAATATTAATATATTATATAATAATTATTTATACTTTTTAAATAAAATAATTTTAATATAATAAATTTTAAAGTTTAAAGTTTAAAGTTTATTATGATATTTGCTTAAATTTAATATTTTTTTTAGATAAAATATTATTTCATTCAATACATTTATATATTACTTAAATTTCTTAAAGCCTTAACTCCAAATTATTTATAAGGATAACTACTATTTAATAAAGATATATTATTTAAATAATTAGAACTTTTTATAATTTAATTAATATAAAAAATGATTTAACATATTAAAAAATATTATAAAATACTTGAATTATCTATTAAATTCATTATATTCATTAAACTTTCCAGCTAAATTAGATTTTATATCTATACTTCTTGTAAATTACTGATTTTAATATGCCTAATTATTTATTTGTTTAATCAATTCTATATTTCTATCTTTATTATTAGAATCAATCTGAGGCTTCTAAAAAAATTATTAATATAATTCTAATTTTTTGGATAAAAAGCCTTTTTATTAGATTAAAAAAGTTATATATTATTTGAATTTTCTGCAGATTGGCATCTTTTTTATAAGTGGTCTCTTAAAAAATTATCTCTTTTAGATTAATATAAAACTTTTTCTATTTTTTAAAAATAATATTATATTAATAAATTATAATTTACCTGGTTATTAACAATTTGTTTAGCAATAAAATCCATATTCACTATTAGAAGTTTCAGGAATGTTTAGGATAATTTTAGCTTTATCTTAAAAAAAGCTTTTGTTATATCTTTAATTATTTAAACTTTATTGTGAATATTATCTTTAAAATTATTAACTTGTTTTTATATAAGGCCTTTAGGGTAAACTATTATTTTGATTTTGAGTTTAAATCCTATTTTTAATATTATTATTTGATTAAAATTGGTTATTAATTGATTTTTAATTTAGATTTTACAATGAGCTTATTTTTATTTTTTAATTAGTTTAATTTTCTTCAATATTTTAATTATTTGAAATTTAAACTTATTATTATTATAAATGTTACTATTACAAAAATGATGGTTATATTTAATACTCTTCCTATTATATTAGGTTTAATATTTATTATTATTAATTAGTTGTTTAATCTTAAATTTATTAAATGCTTTATTCATATTCTTTTATATTTTTTTGCAATTATTCTTAAATATTTTAGCTCATCAATTTATTTTAATTTAAATCCTACTTTTATTGATCATAATTTTATTAATTATTAACATTTTAAGTTTGTATATTTTTTTAATGCTGAATATAATCTAATTATGAATATGGAATATTTTATTATTTCTTAGGCAATATATATTATTATTAAGTATCATATTCTTTTTATAAAAAGTAAAATTGTTCTTTATAGAATATATAATTAATTTACTTTAATTTCTAAATTATGTTTATTAAGAATTTATAATATATGATTATTTTATTTACGGAATAAAAATACCAGGAGATCTTAAAGACTAGTATTAATTAATATTATTTGGTTAACTTTATTCATGATTATTTTTTAAATCATAGTTTGTTAATTATTCTTACTTACCTTTTTCATAAACACTTTATTAAATTGTATTATTTTTTAGTTCTTTTTTAGATTAAGTATTATTCCTATTTTATATTTTTATAAAAATAATAATATTAATAAAAACCCTAAATATAAGTTGAATATATTTTATTCTTTTAACTAACTTATGGGCTCACCTCTTCTTTCATATTATTTTTAATACAAATATTTACCTTAATTAATGCTTTGTTTTTATCCTAATTCGTTAATACTTTTACTATAATTTTAAGGAAAATGATCTGTTTAATTTACTGAAAAATAATATTTTTACTATAATAAATCTTTGTTTTAATTTATTGTATTTGAGTTTTTGATATCAGATTTCAATTAATCTCTAAACAGTAACAAATGAGAATTTTACATAGCCCTATTTAAAGGCTAAACACTATCGCCTAATATTGGACTTTTAATTGAAGATCTAAAATATAAATAATTTTTAAAAATTTGTATATTTTTTATTTTCTTACTAAAAAGGATTTATAGAATTTAATTAGGTATATTGATTTTAAGAATTATGACCCCAAATATGTTTAAAAAATTTTTTAGGTTAAGCTCCTATATTTAAAATATATAAAATTATTAATAAAAAATCAAATGAACCTTAAATATCTTTAGTAGTAAGCATTCTATAACCACCAAAAATAATTTAATGGGAGTCGCTGATTTAAGAAGGAAATAATTAATTTTTTAAATAAGACATAAAAAATAAATTAAAATAATAATAAAAAAATAAAAAATGCAAAGATAATTATATTATATTTTATTAATAAATAATAAATTAATTAATAATCAATAATAAAAATGTAAATAAAAAAAATTTAAATAAATAAATAAATAAATATTAAATAAATAAATAAATAAATAAATAAAAGAATATAAAAATAAATAAATTATATTATAATTTTATAAATAAATAAATAATATTTTATATTATAAATAAATTAATATATTATATATAAATATTTTTTTAAAAAATTTCATTTTTTTATCTCATAAAATATATAATAATTTTATAATTATTTTAAAATTTTTAATTTAAGTATTTTTATAATTTTTAATTATATTTTATTTTTTTAATATATATAAAAAATTAATAATTTATATATTTTTTTTTATTTTTTATTTATTTTATTAATATATTTAATTACTAATTTTTTATTTATAATTTTTTATTATTTATTTATAAATAATTATATTTTTATATAACTTACAATTTTTTTTTTCTTTTTCTAGAATTAATTTTTTAATTTATTTTAATTTATACATAATATATGATAATATCTTATTCGTTTCATGCTATAAATTATAACTTTTTATTTTTATTTTTATTTTTTATAATTTTTTATTTATTATACTTATCTTTATTTTAATATATTGTCTTAATAATAATAACTAAATTAAAAAAGCTGAATAAATATTTTGTTTTGATAAATAAATATTAAAATAATATCTAATTATTTATTTCATAATATTATTAGCTATTTCTTATTAATTTATTATTTTATACGTTATTATTTTTTTAATATAATGAAAATATTCTATAAATCTTCTTGTTTTTTTTAAAAAAAAAAATAATTTTATTTTAAATAAAAAAGAATAACTTAATTTAAATCCTTATTTATTAAGATTTTACTTATTCTCAATTTTTTTTTCAAAAAATTTATTATCTTATTAATAAAGTTAAGTAAAAGCTTCTATTTAAAAATATTAAATTTGTAATATAAAAAGAAAATAATATATTAAAATAGAATTTAATAATTAATATATCAATTTAATAATTTATCTTAATTATGATATTTAATGGATAGTTTTATTTAATAGTAAATATATCTAACTATTTTTTTTTTTTCATATTGTATAAATTCTGATGGCAAAAATTATTAATGATTTAGATATTTATATTTATCAGAGCCATTTCTATATTTTTAATTTTATACTTAATTATTTTATCTTAATTTAAAATAAGTGCTATTATTGAAATAAATATATGTTTTTAGAATTCAATAATGTTTTTAAAATATCAATTTAAAATTAAAATCCCAATCTTTTATTAATTTCTTATAATTTTAAACATTTTTTAAGAAAAATAAATAATTTATAAATATTTGAATTAAGTGAAAAAAATAAAAGCAAAAATTAGAAATATATATGTCATAATAATTGAAATATTTAAAATATCTATTACACATTTTTTATTATAAGATTCCACAAACTATGTAATTAAAGTCTCATCTTTTGAGTACTTTTTTAAACAAAAATTTTAATTGCTAATTTATCTAAAAAGTGTTTATTTTTCTTAATAAAAGTTAACCTTAATTAATGAGAACTTACTGTTTATAAATATATATTTTTTTTAGAAAAAAAAAAAATTATAATAAGATTTTGAATTTATATATATTTATTTCAAATAATAAAAGATGTGAGTTTTGAAGATTTTAAAAGTTTTTATATTTTTTTCATATAAAATAAAAAATAAATAGAGTGTATTTTATAAATATTTTTTAATAGTTGAATAAATTCAAATATTTAATTGATTTTAAAATAAAAACTAAAAAAATGGAAACAAAATATTTCTTAAATATTTTAATGCTAATAATTTAGTTAAAGCAATTTTTTTTTTTTTCAGTTTCAGAGTTAATACTAAAATAATAATTATTTAATTTTTTTATTATTATTATCTAAAAGAATTATAGAAATTCCATTGTCATGTTCTATCCCAAATTGCACAAAATGTGATGATTCTTAATCTTGCTAAAGATGCTAATTAGGTTACTTTCTATATAAAGTTCCTGTAGAGTTTGATAAAGACGAGGGAATTAAAAAAGACTAATATGTATGTGTAGAATGGTAAATACTTAAACAACTAATTATAATTTTTAATCAAAAATACAAATAAAAATTATTTAAAACAAATATATATATATATAAAAAAGTCCATCTTATAAAACTAGCGGCGAAGCTTTTAATGTAGCGAGCTTTAATTTTATTCCATGTGCTGATTGTGTAGATAATCCTCATAAATGGTCTTTTTAAATATATATAAATATTTTTAAATTAATATATTATTGGATTTGATAATTTAGGACAAATAAACGAATTTGTAGTTACTAATACATTAAGCCTGGAAATCCAGCTATAATTACAGATGAAGATATCTTTATGAAAAACTAATTAAAAAATGAAAAATTATTTTATATAGTTTTATCTGATGGAGTTTATAAAACTTAAATATGTGATGGATGTAAAGACTTTTGTGGAGGCGAAATTTCTGTTAAAGATTGTAATATAGTTTAAGGTGTTTCTAATGAAAATATATAATAAGCTATAATTTGCTAATCAGGATTTTATTTTGACTAAGAAAAAAAAAAATGTACCAAGTGCACATAGTCAGGATGTAAAAAGTAAATAAATAAAAGATTATTATTTTAAAAATATTTTTATTAAAATCAATTTATTTATTTTTTAATCAACTAATTTAAATTTAAAAAATATTTTGAAATTAAAAAAATTATTTTTAATCTATTATTATAATAAAAAACATTATAAATATTTTTTTTTTTAAATGAATAAATTATTTATTTAAGATGTATTTCAATGAATAATTAATTAATGTGTGTTGTTTGTGAAGATGGATATGCTTTAAATAAAGAATAATATTGTATTTAGTGCAGTGATGTTATAACTAATTGTAGTAAATGTTTTTATGGTGATGATCTTGGTAAAAACTATTCAAGCGATCCGCGTGCATTTTAATAAATAGTAAATAACGGAACAATTTCGCTTAGATGTAAATATTGTTAAAAGACAGAAACAATATAGTAATTTATTATAAACTTTTAATTAAAAGATAAAATATAAAAATTAATAGAATTTAAGGATAAAATGCATCTCGTGTAAGGTTTGAAGTTATGATGATTCCAAGTTTGGATTTGAAAAGCTGTGTTGATTGCCCTATAAACTGTCAGCGTTGTGATTATAGTAGAGTTGATTAAGGAAATGAAATACATACACTAAATCCTCGGGTAATTTCAGATGTTACTGAATAATAAAACTATAATTTAAGATGTAGATCATGTTTAGGTGGACCTAGTAACTTTATAAACTATAATGGATAATGTGAAACTTGTGATATACCTCATTGCAAATTATGTGTATATGGAAAACTTGATGATTCAAATAAAAATAATTGGTTTTATACACTCAGTGTTTTTAACTTTGCTATAAAAGATTTTCCATTGAGTTCTTCTGTACCTGCAGGTGTTACTAAATATTGTGGAATTTGTTAAAACGGATATTAAAGAGATTCAAGTGGAAACTGTAAATCAAACAAAAAATATACAATTATATTAAATTTATATCTAATATAGGTGTAATTTAGACAATTAGTAATTGTGTTTTTGCTGATTAAGGAAAATGTATAATTTGTACTGATGGATGGGTTGCGATGTAGAATGGAAGTTGTTCAAGTAATGTTAGATCTGATGATAAGATTACCAATTGTGGGCAGTATTATATGGCCTAAGGATCTAGCATTAATACTCCATGTTTAACTTGCATAAATTATTAAAGTTAAAATGGGAATTTTGTAATGACAAGCAATGGATATGCTGATTATGTGAAGAAAGAATGTTCTAGCTGTGATAATATAGGAAGTTGTAGTGAATGTTCATAATGGAATTGGAGATTTCTTGTAGATGAATATTTAATATTAACATAACCTTAATTTGATTCAAGTATTTATATTACTTGTTTATATTGCTTTTTTATTTTAATTTTTTTTAAAATACTCAATTAAAAAAAAAGAAACTATTTTTAAGCCTTTTTTTTTTATGTTGATTTAGTTTAAAAAAAAAAACTTAAATATTAAAAAACAATACGAACAAATATAATATTTTGAAAATTCCTTTTTTAAATTAAAAAATAAATATAAATAGATTAATAAAAATAATATACAGATGATCTAGACTTATAAGAAACTGCATGGTGTAAAATTTGTCCTCCTCCAGCTAAATAAAATCCATGGACAGGTATATTTTTTTAATAAAAAATATTAATTTTATTTTATTTTTTTTCGAAAAAAATTAAAAAGGTGTTTGCTATAACTGTATTTAATCATGTGCTGAATGTACTATGAAATTAGGGTATCCAGCATGTTAGAAATGTACTATGACATAAACAATTACCAGTGGATTGAATGTTCGCTCATCTTAAAGTTTATCTACATATGGATGTGTTTATGTAATTAATATTTGTTTGAAAAAAATTAATATAAAAATTATAGTGTTCCGATTACGAAAAAAGTTGTATTGATAAAAGTGATATTGAAAAATAATAAGATAATCCATTTTATTATAATTCTTAAAGATTCAAAAACAAAACTAATTGGGTAAAAGCAAATTAATGTAGATAAATTAGTGGAGATATCGAATTATAAGTAAATTAATATGCCTCAAAAAATGTTTATTACAATTCTGAAACATAAAAATGTGTAATATGTTCAAGTGCTAACGGATGTATTAAAAAGTAAATAGTTATAAATATATATACCAAAAGTTCATTTAAATTAATTATATAAAACAAGACTTACTATTCCTTATTTTTTTGATTGTTAACTTTATGAACCTATTGATATATCTACATATTTTACTAATAATGGATTAGGATCACCTACTTTTACTGGATATAATGTTTTTTCAATAAAAAGATTTTCTAATTAGGGAAAAAATATAAATATTAATTTAAGAGATGTGTTAGAGAAAGATGATAAATTTTTAAAATATGCCTAAGAAGGTGTTGAAGAAGTAATTTTTAATATAATTTTTGTTAATACATAAAAATCAGCATCAGTATTAAACTCATGTTCTGTAAATTTCTAATTAACTTTCTTAACAGAAGTAAAAGCGATGATTCCTTCACTTTTGTCAGCAAGTGCAATAGTTACAAGCATGAAGGATAAAGATTTAAGTTCAATAGGCAATAATAATATTTAAATTTATATAAAGAACTAAATTATTTTTGATTCTTTTACTAAAGTTACCTTTAATAATGTTAATATATCTCCTCTTTTTGATTTTGATAATAATGCTGATAAAATTCCTTTTAAAATAGTAATTTAGAATGCTTTATTACCTATTACGGTAGAATTCATAAACTGCAAAATATAGAATAATATACTCAATTTAATGGATTAATATATTGATTATTAAAATACAAGTGTAAACACATACTTTTAATTAATAACTGAAAATTTATAAGCATTAACTCTAACCAATTTTGTATTGTCATAAACGTATTATCCGTAAGAAGTAAATTTTTTCGTAGAAGGATCTAAATATAATAAAATGACTTATTAATTATCCAACTGTGAGTTTGTAAATTTAGTATTTAATTAAATAATTGTTTTTTCTTTGAATAATCCTGAATCTTCAATTTTAATTAACACTATAAAGCTTAAGCAAATAATTTTTGAGACAAGTTCTTTTATTGCTGAGAAGGAAAATCTATCATACTCACTTCTAAGAATAGATTTAAACTTTGCTGATTTCATAAATTTGACTTTGATAGATTCGTATATTGTAAATGTTAAAAATGTCGTCAGATTTAAAGCATCAACATGGGTTTTTGGTGCTCCGTTTTCTGCGAAATCAGTTAATGTAGAAACTGCAGTATTCTAAACTAATTTATTATCTTTATAAGGACTTGATTGTGTTAAAGTTCCCGGATCTTCAGATGCTATATTGATTGAAAAAAATACTCTTTTCAAAACCCCTCCTTTTTCACTTTTAATTACTGAAGTTTATTAGATTTCTCATAGATATACTAATGTGAAAATTTCTTCGGTTAATTGCGAATTAACTAAAAATAAAGATGATATTATTTAAGTAAATGTTTGTTTATTTGATTTATAAGCACCATAAAATAATAATAATTATTTATTAAATATTTTTTTTAATATAGTTTTAGTTTAAAATGTATTTACTATTTAACCTAATTTATAAACTAATTGGAAATTGATGGATTTTAAATAAATTAATGAAATAAATATCACTAGTTTCAAACTTTATTCTAATTTTCTATTATAAGGAATATAGATATATAATCCAAAATCTTTAATAATAGATAATTTTGATTGTGGAAATGAAACCTCTAATATATTTTCAATATATAAAACGTATACAGATGCTACTAATCCTGAATTTAATAAATATATAAATGGATTTTGTTTGTAAATTTACTATTGTTAACAAAAAATTTAATTGAATAATTTAAAACTTTCTAATTATATAGGAAGTGATTAATCTGCTTATTATATAGAATGTAATGCTTAAATTAAAGATACGAAAAATCCTAATGCATAAATTATTGAAGTTAGTAATTTTAGCATTAAAAATTCTTTAATTTTCCTTACGATTCCTGAAGTATTTGTATCTCCTTTGCTTTTTTTATCCTTATATAGTTTCGAAATTACTATAGATGGCATAATAATAGACAATTCTTCACTTGTAACATTTAATATTCATAAAATGACATTTTCTTCTTCTACAGGGGTTTACTTAAATTCTATAGTATCAAAAATAAATATAAAAAAAGGAACTTTCACATCAACAAATAGCTTAGTAACAGAAAATACACTTTTTATAATATCATCAACTCTTTATTTATAATATTGTACTTTCAAAGATTCTAATATATAGAATTAAAATGAAAATATAGCAACAAAGGGAGGATTTGTGAATGTAAAAAGTGAAACAATAACTTTTGAAGATGTTACAATGACAAACTCAGTAGCAAATTAAGGTGGAGGAATATATATTGAATGTATTTAGGATTGTTATGTTAAAATATTTAAAAATCCACTAACAGATCCAACTTATTTATGTTAATTAAAATCTTTATAAACATCTTCAAATGATAAAGTTTTAGGAGAAGGAGGAGCAATATATATAGATGCTACAAAATCAAAATTAAAATTAGAAGTTATTAATTGTTAATTCGAAAATATATTATCTAGAACTATAGGAGGAGTATTTTTTATAGATCCAAGTAGTCAAAATGTAGAAATAACTATTACTGATTGCACCTTTTAAAATATTTATTCCCCTTAAGGTTCTATAATTTCTGTTTATATGTAAAATGACAAGCATTCAGTTAATTTTTAATCAAATTAGTTTATTTGTAATAATATAAGTTTAATTGAAGACTTTATTTATAAAATTAACACTAGTACAGGTGTCCCTGAGTAAAAACTTTAAAAAGCTTGGAAGAATCATTGTTATATTTTGATTTCTAAAGCGACAGTTGAAACTAAATAAAATACCTTTTAAGGAATTAAATATTAAACTTTGATTTGCTTAAGCGAACTCTCATAATGGAAAGATACTAGTTCTACTATCGACTCTTATGTAGGATTTACTTTTCCTTTTTTTAAATTTTAGTAAATAAAAGCATTAACTTATCAGGGACTATAATTTCAAATATCTCAGAATGTTCAGATTGTAGTACTAAATCTAATTTTTAAAGTTTCTAAACTAAAAGTAGCGAAAATGAAGCTACTTTTTATTCTTACAATGACGATAATATAACCTTCTCTCAAGTTAAAGTTTCCGGTATTGATGTTTTGTCAACCCAAAAAGGTCTATTTTATTTTTAAGAATATCTAGGTGATATAAGTATAAGTAACTCAGAGTTCAAAAATAATATTAGTAATTATAGTACTCTATATTTCGACCTAACATATACTAAAAAAGCAAGGTAATATAGGTAATTAGCTAGGTAGGCTAGTAAAAATATATATATAACTAATTCTTAATTCATTTTAAATAATTCTTTATAAAATGGAGGAGCGATTGCATCAATTAATAGCTATTTAAAATTAAGTCAAGTTGTTTTTTAATAAAATGTCGCTAAAAAATCTGGAGGAGGGGTATATTTTTAAGCTAATGACAATGATTAAAATTCTATTCTTATTCTAGATGGAGTTACTTTTGAATAAAACAAAGCTTCACAAGGTGGTGCATATTTTTTAACTGGAATAGCTCCCACTTATATTTTGAATTCTATTAAATCAAATATTTTCAAAAATAATAAAGCTAGTAGTTATGGTAATAATAATGTTGAATATCCTCGAAAACTCAAAATCATTTGGGACAATAAGGAATACATATATGATGGTTTAATTTATAATGATATTCCTTTGATTGAAAACTTTTCAAGTGGAAACAAGCCAAAAAAATTACTTGTGTAATATTTAGGAGATGATAATTAGTTATATAAAGCTAATAAAAGCGCTTAGTGCACTATTTCATTAAATTATGGAACTACACAAATACCTGAAACAGCATAAGTTTCAGGAGCGACAACTTATTCAGTTAATTATGATGAAACTGCTAATAGTTTTATATTTAACGAAGTTAATTTAAATTTAAGACCTCCCAATACTTTAAAAATAAAATTTACATCAGAACTTATAAAAATTCCAATTTATTTGTAAAACAGTGTATAAAAATACATGGATAAATATGATACATCATATTTTTTTCCTGTTTAAGTAAAAATGAGAGAATGTATTATTGGAGAAACAGTAGAAACTAATGGATCTTGTTATTAGTGTCCTACAAATAAATATTCACTTATTTAATATGCTGAAATATGCCTTAGTTGTCCTAAAATTGGTGTTGATGAATGCCCTGGATTAAATGTAATTGTAGTTTCTTAAGGCTATTGGAGAAGAAATATTACAACAGATTTAATAGAAAATTGCAAAAATCTAGAAGAAAATTGCATCGGAGGTAAAGCCTCTTAATTATGTTATGAAGGACATATTGGGGCACTTTGTGAAGTTTGTGATATTTATGGAGAAATTTGGGATGACCAGTGGGCTATAAGTGGTGAGTACACATGTGGAAAATGTACAGAAATATCAGGAAATAATTGGAAAATAGCAATTATGACTATATGGACATTTATAAGTACTTTTATATCTGTAAAAGGTACAATTAACCTTGTTTAATAAGATATTTGTGTTGATACTCTTGTTAAACTAAAGTTTATTTCTGGAGGAAGATCAAGTAGAATTAAAGATAATATTGGAATTTTAATAAAAATTTTGACAAGTTATTTCTAAATTATTTCTCTTATTTTCACTTTCGGTTTGACCATTCCGTCATTTTTCCAAAGTGCTTCTAATACTGTTGGAAATCCATCAAAATAAATGAGCATGTCAATGGATTGTTTTTTTAAAGAAGTTGCTGGTAATATTCCTATTACTTATTTCAGTCTTATTTGGTAATTGCTTAATCCAATGTTTTTTATTGTTGGAGCTATACTGGGTTATGGAGTTTGTGTTTTAGTTAAAAAAATTAGGCATAATACTGGTTATATTTGGTGTACTTGCATATTTTTGTTCATTACTCTATAACCCTCTATTGTTTCGGCTTTTATCACAGCCTCTTCTTGTAGAGTTATTGCAAAAGAAGAATATATAATGGCTAATGTTTCTTTATTTTGTTATTCTAATGAACATATTTATTATATTCTTGTGCTTGTTTTACCTTGTCTTATTTTTTGTATAATTATTATTCCTTTCTTATTTTTTATAAAGTTGCATAAATATAAATAAAAGGTTTTATTTTATTTTTAAATATATAAAATATTTATTTATATATCTATAGCTTTACAGTGACATTTGGACTAAGTATAAATTTGGATATTTATATATGGAGTATCAATCTCATGCATATTTTTGGGAATTGGTTAAAATTTTATAAAAAATGCTTCTTATAGTTTTTATTAATATTTATGATTCAGATACTAAAGTTAAGGGAGTTTTATGCTTTATGGTTGTTATTACTTATACTATTTTAAGTTCTATTTATGAACCTTATGCTGATAAAGATAATAATAGATTAGATTAAAGTTCTAATTAAGCATGTGCAATAAGTATAATATTAGGGGTATTTTTATATTAAAATTATATTGACTATCTTGTTATTATTGGTTATGTTTCTATTGTCATTGTCAATTTAATTTTCTTGATTGATATTATTTTATGTATTGTAAGAGGATATACTAAAAAATTAGATGATTAAATTTTCAAATAAGCCGAAAAAATTATTCCTAAACTAAATAAAATACCTAAACTATAAATTTATTTTAAGAAAAAAGTATTTTTTCTTTATATTTTAAATTAATATTATTTTAGGTTGCTAGATATATACCTATTAAAAGAGTTTTGCATTTATGGAATTTTGCAAGTATAAAAGTACATTAATGGTTAGAATTAAAAAAAAAAAATTCCTAGTTAAAGTTATTTGAAGAAGATAATTAAAAAAGATAATAAAAAGAAACGTAAAAAAAATAATTATAATTTTACTTTGATATTTTGTTTTTAGAAAATCAGATTTAGATAAGGGAATAAAAAAGTCAAGGTACGCATTATTAAAAAATAAATAGCAAGAGCAAAATAAATAATCTTAAAATCTTATATAAGATATGAATGAAAAGGAAGATCAAAGATTTAGTAACGAATAACAAAATAATATTATTAACCTGGATGATTTTAATATGCTTGCTTAATAAAACTTAACCTAATCTTAAAGTCAAAATATTAGAGATAAATAGTAAACTAATTTCACAGCAACATAATAAAGTAAAATCAAATATAATTTTATAAGCATAATATTTATATATTATTTTTTTCTTAAATAGAACCATATATTATTAAAATAAAGCCTTCTGATATATCTAATAAAAAACATGACTATCAAAATAAAGACAATTTAGAACTAAATGTCTTAGTGGAACAAAAAACCATTTAAGCCTAAAATAGTCCTTAACTATATAGTAAATCAAATGAATTAAATTAAATCATAGATTAGGATAAGATTGAATTATGAAAATATATATTCTGAAGATTAATATATTAAATAATCAAATTATAATTTAAATTAATAATAAGTTTATAATAATTTATAAAAAATTTAAATTTTATTAAAAATATATATCATATAAATAGTGTTATTATGATAAAAATATATATTGCAAAATATTATAACTTTAAATTATTATTAGGTAAAGGAGGATCATCTGGAACATAGTTAGGGTTAATATAATTCCAATAGTTTGCACACTTTAATTAAGTTATTAAATCATTATAATATGATGAACTATCTTAGAGTGTTATTGGCTATACTTTCATACAATCGTAATAATATTTAGGCATTTTATCGTTTGCTTATGGATTTTTAATATAAAAATTATTCCATAACAAGCAATCTTAATTTTGAAAAAAAAAAATATTAAATTTAAATGATGCATCAATACATGCTTAATATTAAACTTAGTCATCTTTATTTTTGCACTAAATTTGTCTTACATGATATTTATCTGAACAATATGTATATTAGAAAATATTAGGAGCATTTTATTCATTACTTAAAACTTTGTGAAGATAAGTAAATGCAATCAACATAATAAATATATTTTTTATAAAACTATACATCTTAAAAATACTATTAGATTTAAATAATAAATTATAATATTTATAAAATATAATAATATAAATAATTTATTTCTAATTATATTTTTTTTAAATATATTTTTAAATGATAATAATATATGTTTTAAATAGTGTAAATATTAAGAAATTATATTATATATTTAATTTATTCTATTTATTATATATATTTTCAAATATATATGTTTCAAAAATAAATACTTAATATTAAATAAAGATATAATTAATAGTTCTAAATTACTTTTAAATAATGAGTATTCAGATTATTACAAAATTTTGACATAAATTTTATGTTTAAAAATTCAATAAAAAATTTTAAATTTATTTTATAATTTGTTTTATATAATTTATTTCTGGTATAATTAATTATATTTAAATCTTTAAATTTTATAAGTTTTTTATATCAAATAAAAAAAAAAAATTCGTAAAATAAATATTTAATAATTTTAAATAAATTATGGGTAGTATTTTATTTTATCCTCTATAAATATTTACAAATTTGTTATAATAAATATTGATATTTATTATTATGACAAATTGAATAATAAATATTTGATATTTTATATTAAAAGGTAATATAATAAATAAAATTATTTTATTATAAAAGCAGTTTTACTTAATTAATTTAAATTATTTCCGAAAAATATTTTTGCTTTAATAAAAAAAAAACTAATATTAAAAAAAAATACTACTCTATCTTTATTTCAAAATCTATATTTAAAATAAAAAAATAAAGAAAATGAGACCAGGCCAAAAAAAACCATTTTAAATAGTAATATAAGAAAAAAAAAATTAACTAAATAAAATATAAATAAAGAAAAAGTAGCAATAAGAAGATATAGATGCTATGATAGCAAATGAACTAAATGTTAATCCATTATTTAATGTAAAAAATAAAAAGTTTTATTTGTAGTATTTTTCAAAAAAAGAAACCCAAACAAAAAGATGAGATGTAATAATAAGCATTTTCCCCTATAAAGCCTTAAATAAAAATACGCAAAAATTTAAATAAAGATTCACCTTTTTAAGAAAGTGAAGAATTTTAGTAATCATAAAATTTACCAGAAAATAATTCTAATTTTATATTTAAACCATAAAAAATTAATGTAAAACGAGTTACAAAAAACACAGATGAAGATAAATAATAATATTAATAATAAGAAGAATAAAAGAGTATATAAGAAAAACAACAAGAAAAGACAAAAGAGTTTCCTATTTTTAAATTCAAGCCAAATTTTTAAAAATGTAAAAAAATAAAAATTTAAAGAATTATAATATAAAAAAAAAGAAAAAGAATAAATAATATAATAAAATGTAGATGATTTAATAGAATAATAATTAAATTAAAAAAATAATTAAGAATAGGAATTTTAAAAATAAGAAGAACTGGAATTATTAAAAAAACCCGACTTAGCAGGTAGAAAAACTCCTTTTAAGACTAATCGAAAATAATTAATTAGTAATTAAGATATAAATTAAATAATATAATAGCCATAGATATAGCCAAATCAAGGAAAAATGATAAACATTCACAAGAAAATTATTAAATAATAAAATCCAAATATCAACTATTAACCTGGTTTGAAAAATAGTTCTTAAAAGTAAACTGCTTATAATGATTCTGATGAATATTAAGAAGATTTCGATGATTATGAGGAAGAAAAACCAACTTAAGAAATTTTGAAGCCTAAATTGCCTTAAACAGTAAAAGGAGAAATTGATTGGTAAAAGCAAGAAATGCTGAAAAGAAAGGAAGAAGAAGCAAAGAAAAAAAAAGAAGAGGAAGAATAACAAGAAAAATTTAGATAAGAAGAAATTTTAAGATAAGAAAAACTTGATAAATATATGAGAGATAATCCTGATAAATAGCCTCCAAAATAAAAAAAAAACTAAGTAATCAATGAATAAAAGTAAAAAGTTATTTCTAATTTAAAGGAAGAAGAGGAAGAATATAAAGAAGTAATGTCTAAAAATAATTAAAATAAAAATAAAAATTAAGATTAAGATTAAGATTAAGATTTTTAAAAGGCTTAATAATAAATATAAATATAATAATAATAATAATTCGAATATAAATAATATAATTATGACGAAAATTAAACTTCTAATTATTCAAATTATTTTGTTAAAGATGTAGAACTAAAACCTAAATATAATCCTAATACTGATTATATTTATAAAGATAATGAAGGAGCTATTTAAGTTAATCTTCAATAAAACGAAAATACGTATTTCCATGTATCTTAAGTTAAAATAGAGTAGTAATAAGAAAGGGTTAAAATGTTGAAAAGCTTAATTCAATTCGAAGTTGAATATTTTGAGACATTATTTGAATTAGAATAAACTAGTAAATTTTTTTAAATAATATTATTAAATATTTATTTCTAATAAAAAAAAAATAGGCCGAATATGAAAATTATGTTAATAAAATTAAAGGAGGATGTATAAGAACTCTGCTGATTAACAGGTGATAATATTATAGATAAAGAAGTATAAACCAATTTATAGTAATCATTATATATATTTTTAATTGTATTTTAATTTATATTAAATAAAAAATAAAAGTGATTAAAATGATTTCTGTAATTAATGCCCAGAGGATTAGACAAGAACTTTTTTAGCGAACAAATAAAATAATAAAAATAATATTTAAAGTAAAAACTCAATTAAGAATTTAGATGATACAACAAAATTAATAGAGTATGATTTTTTTTTGGTTTTAGTTTTAATAAATATTAATTTTTTTTTATATAAAGATTTATAAATAATACTTATTGTATTTTTGAAGAAATATTAAATTTAGATTCTTCAAATAATAAAAAGATATAAGAAAATTAAGAATTAGTATAATATGAAATACCTATGATATTAAAAAATATGAAATAGATAGTGATATAAAATATACTTAGTTCAGATAATTAGGAATAATATATTGTTTATTAAGGCATTCTTAATAATTAAAAATGTACTTTAATAATACAATATAAAAACTATAAAATTTGCAAATATTTTATAAATTCTAATTTAATTTCTAGCATTTCAATATCAAACAATATTTTAATTGCTGGAACATTTACAGGATCTTTAAATATATGGGATTTAAAAGAAACTGATTTTTTCCATTAAAAATAATATAGTCTATTATATATTATAAATTTTTAAAATAAATAAATAATATATATATTTTTTAGATAATTTCATAAGTTAGGATTTAAATCTAAATAATTGTATACTAAGATTACCTTCTTTCTAAACTGAATTTTTAGCTTGTGTTGTGAATCCTTTTTTAGATGAATATAATAGCGTGGCACATTCTGGAAGTGTAATTAAAATTATTACCAACTAAAGAAAATTCGAAATATATTCTTTAGATTAATTTGGAAAAATTATTTTATGGAATATTATTGAATTAACTAACGAAGAAGCAGAAAGAAATTATGTTGATTTTGGGAAATATTCAAAAATAAAGGTTTTTTATATAAAAAACTATCATATATATTAGTATATTTGATAATTAAATATAGATATCAAGCAATAATTAAATAAATTTATATGATCAATATTAAAATTAAGAAATAACATGTTTCGATTTTTAAACTGATGAAAAGGATGACACGTAAAGTTAAATTTTTAAAAATTAAAAATAAATTTTTTAGGATATATGTTTGTACATCTATAGGATTAATTAAAACAGATAAATTTGGTACAAACAAAGTAAAATACCCAAAATTATATGGAGATAAATATTGTACTTGTTGTAATATTCCAGAAGAATCTAATTTAATCTTTGCTGGATATTTAGATGGATCAGTAAAAATATATATAAAGACTTTTGCTGATCCTTTGCTTGTGATATAAAACTTCTCAAACTTTTAAATAAAATGTATATAGAATAGTTCTAATGATAATAACTTAGATGATATTAATAAATTTTTAGTTAATGATAGTGAGGGTACATTATATTTATTTGATTTATAAGAAAAATAATAGGTTAAAAAAAAAAAAAATATTTTAAAATTAATTATTATAAAAAAAGGAACCTGTATAAATCATTAATGAAATAGCTTAAATTGAAAAATAAATTAAAATAAATAAAAATTTCATTTAAATAAATAAGAATTAAAATATTTTTGAATTATTTGCTGAAGATAATGAAAATAATATTTATTCTTTAAAAAAATAGTATTTTAATGAAAAAAATACAAATAATAAATAACCGTAAATATTGCAAAATAGATTAATTTTAGAATAAAATATAGTATCTTTTTATCACGATACTAACTTTTCAAATAATAGATAAGCAATTTATATTTGAATAAAAGAACATAAAAATTAAATTACATTTTGTTATTTTTTTTAATATAATATTTTTTGTTAAAATTTATAAATATATTAAATATACAATTTAAATATCTTTTTTTTTTTTATGGATTAAATAGAAATAAATTCATAATTAATGCTTTTTATTTTTTAAATAAAAAATTATATTAAAATAAAATTAATGTTTAATTTCTATTTATAAAAAAATATAATATTAAAACAAAATTTAATAACAAAAAATAATGGCAAACGGAGTATCAACTGAATGGGATGACATTTAAAGAAAATTAGGAAACTTTGAACAAAAGCCATATGTTGCTTAGTAATGGGAGCTAAATTAATAAGCATAAGAAAAGCTTGAATAATAAGAGAAATAAATTTAAAAAGATGATTTATCAGATTTAGAAAATGAATTTGAAGATGATGATTTTTTTAAAGAATATTAATAAAAAAGAATGAAAGAAATGTAAGAAATAGCTTAAAAGCCACATTTTGGTTCAGTATATGAAATTTCTAAAGATTAATATGTTGAACATGTTTCAAATGCGCCGCCTGAATCATGGGTTGTTTTACATATGTATAATGATTCAAATGAAGTAAAAAAAAAAAAAAGATTATTAAAATATATTTTTCAATATTAAAAAAATAGTATTGTTTATTAATAAATTAATATTTTTCACGATTAGCAATAGAATATCCACTTGTAAAGTTTGTAAAAATTGTAGCTACAAAATGTGTTGAAAACTTCCCTGAAAGTAATTGTCCTTGCTTCATTATTTATAAAGGAGGAAAAATGGTAGTTAATTTATAAAGTATTGATAAATTTATTGGAAAAGTAACAAAAGAAAATATAGAAAAGCTACTCCATTAACATAGTGTCATTGTTAATGAAGAATTTAATAATTAAGATGAAGAAATTTAACAATATAAAAGTATGCTTAATAGACCTTTTAAAAATTACGGAGGGGGGTATTTAGACAAAGTTGATGATAGAGAATATGTCTCTAAAAATATTAAAAAGTTAAAAGATTGAATTAAATAATATATTTTTATATATATCATATTTAATGATATTTCTATTAGTATATTTTTATGTGCTTATTTGTAATATTTTATATTCTATATTAATTTTATACCACTTTAAAAATAGCAAAAAAACGAATAATTAATTATGAAAAAATAGCTTTTAGATAATATAAAAATATTTTAATTTTTTTTTTTTTTTTTATTACAAACTAAATAAAAAAAAATGAACTTTTATTTTAAAATAAATTATTATTTAAAAAATAGTATGAATTAAATAAAAGAGAATATTAAAAACATATTTTTTTAAAAAAGATTTAATTAAAAACAAATAAAAAATACAATATTTTTTATATTTATAAATCAATATAAATATATCTTTTTTAATATATATTTAAAAATATTACAGAGATTTATATTTTTTTTTTAATTTAAATACACATCAATTTTATTCGTTATTAGCATTCTTTAAAAAATCATAAGTCATAATAGCATACCATATCATATCATTATCATTGAACTTTCTTTTAACAGATTCATTAACCCAATCTTTAGCGATTAATTATTTAAGTGTTTCATAACAAGATATAGTTGTTATTCCTCTTTCTCTTGAAAATGTTGTGATTCTATGTCCTTTAATATCATGAAATCCTAGATTAAATAAAGCATAATCTTATTTTCTTAATAATTTCAAATGTTTTTTGATTTGGTAAAGTAGGATTTGTCTTTGAAAATACTTTAAGACTCTAAACTTTAAATCAATAGAATAATTTGAATACTCATATTTTTTCTTCGCACTTAGTTTATTAATAATCCAAACTGGAATATTATAAGATAATTAAATAAATTTAGATAGAATAAATGTTCCAGCTATATATTCCATTCCTAAAAAGTTACATATTTCAATAAGTTATTTAACATCCAATTTTTTATAATCTAATCCTTTTTCTTCGAATTATTTATAGTTCGTAAAAAACGCCTTTTTATAAGTATCTATATTTGTAAAATCACTTTAATATGCTTGACAATTCATAACTAAATGATTTTTTAATAATAATACTAGGTCTATATGTGATTATGCTTATTTGTCTTCTTTTTATTGAATTTATTATTCATATGTGTAATCAAAAGTAAATTAGGAAGGCATTGCATTAGGAAAAAATATCAAGTATAAGGGTAATAGTAATTCTGCTGCAGGAATTATTACAAATAATGAAAAAGGAATGATTTTAAACAAATCAGATTTTATCTGTTATGCTTCACGTATTTCGTATCCTGTATATTAATCTTTCCTCTTTTATTGTTTTAAGGCTAATATCCATTTAATATCTGAAAATGTATCACGCGTTCCTTCTATTAATAAAAGAACAAATTCCTTGAAAAATGCCTTGAATTTGCTTAGATTTTTCTTTTATTCATGTAGTTCTTTTGTTGATATTATTTAGTATTAAATAGAATTAGTTAAGATTTTAAAGGATGATTTTTAATTATAATTTACTCCATTAAATGATATCATATTTAATTTAATTTTTAAATTATTATTGGTAGATTTTTAAATCACATTTGTTATATTTTTAATATTTCTTCTTAAAAACATTTATTTTTTATTTATTTATTTTTATTATTATAATTGTTTTTTATTTTATTTTTTAATAATTATTAATTAAAATATTTTTATATTTATCTTATTTTTTTATTTATTTATTTTCTTTAAGGTTTCTTTCTATAATTGGTTGCTTTAAATATTATATATCTTTTTTTTTTTTTAAAAAAAAAAGACTTAATCAAAAAATAATAAGACCAGACCATTTATTATTTTTGTTTTGTTTTGTTTTTTGATTGTATATATGAAAAAAAAAGAAAGAAAGAAAGAAAAAATAATATGAATAAATAATAAAAAAATTATATATTTATTAAAATATTAAATTATAATTTAGTAAAATTAAAACAATATATTTAAAAATAATAAAATCTTAAAATATATATAACTCAACTTTAATTTTTAAAAATGTTAAATTTGTTTTATGAACTTATTAAAGCTCAAAATGATTAAAAATCTTATTTAGATTGTTTGTATATTCCTGAAATATTTATTTTAGATGAACTTTAATAATTTTAATGGTATTTTCGCTCAAAGCATTGCGGTCGGATCTTAAAAAAGCGTCATGAAAATTCATCAGATGAACAAATAATTCTTCATTTATTAAAGAACTAATTAATATTAACATAATGTATATTAAATAATGAAAATAAGTTAGAAATTAAACATATTTAAAATGAGAATGAAATAAGAAAATATTTTTAAGAAAAAGTTTATTTGAAACAGGGTTATTACTATTACTTATAAACCTTTATAAAAAGTGATGAAAATGATTATTTTTAAATTCTTTATAATGAAAATTACATTAAAATAGAAAGATATAAAAGTATAATGAAAGAATAAAATAATTACACGTCATTAATAAGTTTCGAAGGTCCATAAATGCTTTATGTTATGGAAAAAGTAACAGAAAATACAGCAAATCATTTAAAATATATAACGAAAAGAATTATTGAATAATTAGAATTTACTTAATCATGTAAAGTAAAATAAGCATTACTTTATTTTAAAAAAGCTGGAAGTCACTATTATTTAATTAATTGTAATTAAATATAGTTTGATAAGCCTAAAAATATACTTCCATATTCATTTTGTTATGAGTTTGTGATTCCTCATTATATAAAAAATAATTTTAATTAAATAGTTAATATTAAAAAAAAATATATATATGTTATGTTTGTGGTAATGAAACTTCAAATTATAATGAAATAACGAAAAATAAGGTTGAAAAAATATGTTAAAAAAAAGGCATTTTTATAGAAAATATGATTAAATAAAATTATATTTATGATAAATATCAAAATGTTAGAGTTTGTGAAAGTTGTTTTGAAGTTTATTTGTTAATTTCTAAAGAATAAAATTTATAAGAAAATAAATATTACCAAACTTTAAGCAAAAGAAATTCTTAAAATAAATAACTTTAATAAAATGAAAATTTTATTACTAATTATAATAAATTTTATTATACAAATAAAACAATTCACAATTCTGATCATTTAAATTTATAAGCTAATTCTAAAAATAAAATTACTGTAAACTAATAAAAAAAATATAAGTTTAGAATTTAAAGTTCATCTTCTATAAATATCAATAAGAATACAAATATATCTTTGAAAAAAATCGAAAGTTATGATAATAATATTTAAATAACTGAAGAGAAAAATAAAGAAAATACTCAAAAACTATTAAATTTAAGAGCATTAAAGTTTAAATGAAAATAGAAAAAAAATAAAATATTAAAAAATTTAATTTAGCTTTTTTGTATTTATATTTTACTTTTTATTAAATTATGAATAAAATTAAAATCTTTTTTTTTTTAAAAAAAAAAAATGTATAAAAAATTATATATAAGTTCTAAATTTTTAATTAAAAATAAAAAATAAAATTTTTCTTAAATATATATTCAACCACCAGCTCTATTATTAAAGAATCGGGAATTATTATATCAGACAACAAATGAAATATTATAATCTCATGATTTTTTTAAATAATTGAAAACATAATATCCATAAAAAACTCACTTTTCAGCATATGCTGGATTTGATCCAACTGCAGATTCTTTGCATTTAGGGAACTTAGTTTCAATTTTGACTATGGTAAGACTGGCTCTAATTGGAATAAAGCCTATTTTTTTAATTGGAGGAGCCACTGGTTTAATTGGCGATCCTTCAGGAAAGAATTAAGAACGAGAAATGCTAAGTAGAGATTAAGTAACTGAAAATTTAAAAGGAATTGAAGATATTTTAAGAATTTCTGTTGAAAACATATTTAGATTTTTAGAAAAAAATAAAGAAAATTTAGATTTACCTTAATAAATAGATGTAAAATATATAAAAATATATATATAATTAATCTTATTTTATTTTGAATTAACAAATAAAGGGAAGTTTTGAAATAATAAATAATTATGAATTTTATAAAAACATGAATATCATAGATTTTATAAGAGATATAGGAAAATATTTTAGAATGAATACTCTTTTAAATAAAGATACCATAGCTAAAAGATTAGAAACAGACTAAGGAATATCATATACTGAATTTACTTATACATTATTATAAGCATACGATTTTGAAAGACTATTTGTTGATAAAAATTGCGTATTATAGGTTGGAGGAAGTGATTAATGGGGAAATATTACAAGTGGAATAGATCTAATTAGAAGAAAACATAAAAGTGAAGCTTTTGGTATTACTACAAATTTAATTTTGACTTCTTAAGGCAAAAAGTTTGGTAAAAGTGAAGGAAATGCATTATGGATTGACTCTAAAAAAACAAAATATTATGATGTTTATTAATATTTGATTAATACACCAGATTAATAAAGTATTTAATATTTGAAAATGCTTACTTTTCTTCGTTTAGATTAAATACAAGAAGTTTAATATAAAAAAAAATATATTATATGTAATTATTTATTTATAGATTGAAATAAAAATGAAGGAACATCCTGAGAAAAGAATAGCCTAAAATAAATTAGCTGAATAAATAATTGGGATGTTAAGTGGAGGAATGTAGGAAGAAACTACACTAAATGCATAAAAGACTGCCGAGAAATTCTTTTACACAGATTTTAAAGTTTTAGTAAAACATGTTAAAAAATTTTATTTTTAAAAAAATCAAGAAATAACAAAGTGATAAAGAAATAATATTTTTTTTGATTAATTCACTTCTAAATTGTAATTCGAAATTAAAAATTTACAAAAAGTTCAAAACTTTGTAAATTTAATGGTTGAGTTAAATATAATGAAAAGTAAAGCTGAAGTTAGAAGAAATATTAATATGGGTGGTGCTTATGTTAATGGTGAAAAGATAACTATAGAAGAAGCTTAAAACTTATCTTAATTAATTAAAGACAAAGCTTTTTTAAATAAATATTTAGTTATTAGATTTGGTAAGAAAAACTATCATTTAATTGAAATAATATGAAAATATATATAAAATATAAACTCTTTATAAAGTTAATTCATAGGTATATAAATATTTTGTTTTTTGTTATTTTTTATTATTAATCTATTTACTTTATTTATCTTTTAACTAGCATAATTTAATTTTTAAGGTCTTTGTTTTTTTATTTAAAATATTTAAGTATTTTTTTTAATTGTTTGTTTTCTTTTTTTATTAGTTTTTAAGATTTTTCGATTAAATTCATTTCTAATTTCTTTATATAATATTTTTTTCACAATAAATATTATATATACTCTTTTGATTTTTTACTTTAATTTTTTTTATTATTATTTAGAAAAATCTTAAAATACTAAAATATAGACTGAAAATAATTAATTAAAAGGCATAATTTAAAAATATTAAAATTAGTAATGAAAAAAATAAATATTCTAATATATCAAATTTTAAATCCGTTTGATTGAATATATCAATTTACCCAATATTTTATAATTCAATTTAAAAACCATACATATTTTATATTTTTATAAATTATTTTTGTTTTAGAAGTTTTTATATAGTTTAATAATACTAAAATATTCTTAAGGATACACAAAAATATTGATTAACAAAAAGATTATTTTAAAAATAATAATTTTCTTTTAAATTTTAAATATAATAATGTTGTATTATTTTATATATTCGAACAAAAAAATTAATATAATGATTATAGTAAATATTATTAATTCTAATTTCTTAAATTTTTATAAATGTAATTAATTTAAATATTTTAATTATTTTTTTTTAATTTGATTATATAATTATAATATTTTTTTAAAAAAAATAATATAATAAACAAAAAATTAAGAAAAATAAAATGGTTTTAATACATTATAAAAAAACAGAATTCAATTAATTTTTATATGAAGTTACAAATGCAACTCCTATTGAATAACTTATTGAGTAATTAGTAGAAAGTAAAAAAACAAAAATATTACTTAAAAACATTTATATATATTTTATAAATTATAAATAAAAAAGTTAATAACTTAAGAATAATTATAGATAGATTAGCAGTAAGTATTGAAGATTTAGCTACTCATGGAGTAATGAAACCTGAGGAACTTAGAGGATTATCAGAACCCGAAGTTATAAAATAAACTATGTAAAAAATATATCATTTAAATATTAATTAATAATTTAAAATAAATTTAGGGAGACGCTTTCAAATGATAAAAAGAAATATTGTGAACCTCCTGTCCCTAAAAACGGAGAAAGATATAATTAAGATCCTTCTGCATATAGATATGGTTTAATTTTAAATGAGTAAGTAACTAATATGATGATTGAATAGGTTGTATAAGCAAAATAAGCTATATCTAAAGAAAATGTAAATATATTTTTTATATATTGTTAAATAATTAATTATTAAAAATATATTTATTAATCTAACTTTATAGTTTTTATTAAATTATATCTTTTTATATATTTATTTATAAAAAAGGTTGCACTTAAAAAAAACCTTGTAGCTTCGTAATTAAAATAATAAATTGATTTATTAAGAGGTGCAGTAATGATTGCTTATCCTGGATACTATGGCTTACCAGAATGGGAACCAGCTAAACTTATTTTAGAAAACTAATTTTAATTTGAAGGAAGAGAATTTGATGTTGGTGATGTATGAAATATATATTATTTAAAACAAATTATTAATACTAAAAAAATAGTACTTAGAAGCAAAAAATACGTCTTTGTGGTGGGCTGGAAAAGAACTTTTAAGAAGTAAATTATTAAGAGATTATACAGGAAAAAATGAAAAAACCAAAATCATTGCTAAGTTAACTAAAACTGGATCTAGTGCACCAGCAAGAGAACCTATGATAGATTAAGAAACACATAAAAAAATGTTATCTTATTATTACAAAAAACAAGAAGAAAATAAAGTATATAATTATATAATTTTCTATTTAATTGTTATTTAATAATTTTAATAAGTAATTAGAAGAAGATGATGAGGATTAATACATGAATAGCTCATGGGCAAATCCTAAAATTTTAAAAAATTAATTACATGGAGTTTCTGATAGTATTAAATGGAGAACAGGAAAAATTGATTAAAAAAAAATATAGATTAATAAAAATTAAATAAATAATAATATATAATTACTTTATTTAAAAAATTCTAATAGTGAAATATTTAAAATATTATTTTTTGGTTTTTTTGCTTTTGTTTTTTGAAATTTTTAAAAAATATATTAAATTCTTTAATATGGTATGAAAAAAAATAATTAATTTTTAGGGAATTTTAATTAATTATGATATTTTTTTTTATTTTTTTAAATAATAATTATATTTATACCATTAGAATTGTTAAAAAACAATAATAAAGTTTAATTTAAATATAAATTTTTAAAGAAAAATAATAAAATATTTTATTTTAATATTTATTTAAATTAAAAATGCATATAATTTTTTAGTATACAAATAGATTTTAATTCTCCAAGTTAAATATCTAAAAATTAAATAATAAATACATAAATAAATATTTGATTGATAAAATTTATTATATAATTATAAAAAAATTAATTTGAATTTTGATTTTCTATAAAAACAATTATATTTTTTTTATTTATTTATCATTAATAATTATTAAATAATATTTTTTTTTTGATTAAAAAAAATTATTTTAATATATTTTATTATTAAAAAAAAGTAATAAAAATTAAAATAGAGTTAATAAAATATTTTAATAAATGGGCACATGCTGTGGCTATTTAAAATAAGAAAGTAAAACAATACATTCATCATAAACAAAAAATTGTGATAAAAATAAAATTGAATGTACAGAAATGAATAATAGTTTAAGCAATAAAAACATTATAAACGAAGAGGAGAATTAAAGTTAGCAACATAAAAATCTGTTTGGAAATAATTCCATTGAAGGAAAAGATTCATTGATTTAAAACCATGGAACAATAGATATTGATTAAAGTGAAATTTTAACAAAAAAGGACTTTTTTTAAGAAGAAGAGATTGTAATTTAAATAAATAATTAATTTAAATTTATTATTTAATAAATAAAAAGATAAATAAAAAATAAATAGTATATTCGGTTTTTTAAGTTGAAAAAGAAATAAATGACTAAAACAGAGTTAAATAAATTGAATAAATTCAAGAATAAAGTTAAAATAATTAATTAAAAGAAGAATCAATTATAGTAAATAATACATAGCTTGTATAATTAAAAAAATAAGAAAGCTAATTTTAAAATGAAAAAAGCTAATATGATAAACTAACAGAAATAAAATATGAGAAATAAAATGAATAATAAATTTAATAAAACAATTAAAAGATAATAAAGTAATAATAAGACGCTTCATAATTAAATGAGCAAGAAAATTTAAAACAAAAATAACCATTTTCGCCTTTAAATAAATTAAAAATTAAAAGGCTTAGTAGCGAAAATTAAGATCAATTTAAACTTAATTAGGATAATAGTCCTCGTTCTATTTTAAAGAAAAAAATTTTTAATGAATCATAATTTTCTTATGATTGTGATAGTTAAAGAAGTAAATCTTATAAAAAAGTTAAGTTTAAAGAAAGTAATTTCAAAAAATAAAAAAAGAAAGGAGGTAGATGAATTTTGTATATTTTTTTTTATTATTACTAATTTAAATAAAAAATAAACATAATTAATTTTATTTTTACTTTCCAATTTCTTTTATTTTATGTATATAGTTGTTGCTTATTATCTATTAAATTTTTTATATCTCTACTAATAATTATGTAATTATGTAATTATGTTAATTTTTTAAACGCATTATAATTAATTAATTAAATAAAAAAATATCATATTTATTAATTTTAAAAGTTAAATAATTTATTATATAAAAGTAATTTAAAAATATTATATATTACTTAACTTCGTATACAATTATATTTAGATTCGAAAAAAAATTAATGTTATTATTATAACTAAAATTAAAACCTATAAATTTCAAGATAAATTAGAGCTTTGTATACGTTTACCTTTTAATTTAAAAGTATAGAAATTCCATAAAGAAAATAAAACCTTAAAATATCAAAAATTAAAAATTTTGATAATAAATTGTTAAAATGAAAATCTTTTTTTAATTTTTTATTAATCATATTTAATATTTTTAAAAATTATATAAATTAAAAAATAAATTCAAGTTACCAGAAATCTTTGTATAAAACCAATAAAAAATAAAAATCCCTATTTTAGAAAGAAGAGAGATTTTAAAAAGAAATATTTTATTTTATAAATCTTTAAAGCAAGTAAAAGTGAAATAAAATATTTTTAATACTGTAAATATATACTTTTTTAAAAAATTACATAAATTAGTTAATATTAAATTTATACAGATTTTTATTAAATTTTTTGAAAAATAAAAAGAAAAAATAAATTTATATTATAAAATCTATAATTATTTAGTTTAGGATAAAATTATTTTTTATAGAAATTAATAAAAAAAAATTATATTTTATTTATATTATAAATATTTATTATATTATATATTAATTAATGTTTTTATTAAAAAAATTATCAAATATATAATAATATATATATAAAAATAATTTTTAAATTATTTAAATAAAAAATTTTTATTAAAGAATAAAAAAACACAAATCATCAAAACATGTCATTTATTAATATAATTAAAAATTAAATATCAATTTATATTTGAATTATATAGAAATTGAATTTTTATTTTTAAAGCTGAATATTTTAAAATAATATTTAGACTAAAGCTAAATATTTGGATTAGGCTTTTTGAAATCATTTTTTTTTAGGAAAACAAAAAAAGATTTATAAGTTATATTTATAATTAGTATTTTATTTATTATTAATTTAATTTTTTAACCCTTTATAATAAATATATTAAATGTTTATTTTTAAATTAAAAAAAGCATTTCAATCATTAAAATTAAATAAAATAAAAATATTTATAAAGCAATTAAATTAAAATTATTTATAATTATATGAATATACTATTATTAATTTTTTTTATTTATTTATAAATAATATTTTATATATTATAATTATATTTTTTCTTTTATTAAAAAATATAAAAATAAGTTTATATTAGATATATTATTTTAAATTGAAATTTTGAATATATTATAGTTGACTTTTATTTATCAATAAATTATTATTTCACTTATAAATACCATTTAAATTAAAAAACAAACTAATTTTATTTTTATATTTTTCAAATTACACATTAACAATTGATGAATTTACCATTATTATTTTTTTTAATTTATAGTATTAAATTATCTTATTATAAAAACATTATTAATTAATTTTATTTGAAAAATAAAAATAAATATGGTTAAATAATTATTATTATTTACTATTTTATTTTATATTTTTAACATTATTAGTTGTAACTAAGATAACGCCCCATAAATTTATCAATATACTTATTGTGCTGATAAAAAAGAAGTTAGATCAGTCTAATGTAATGGTAAAGAAAGTGATCAAGATGTTGCTAATGTAAATTGCTGGCAAGCAAGTAAAATATTCTAAAGTTACTATAAAAATGACAAACATTGTTAATATTGGGAAAATAGTTACAGGATAACAAAATGTTAATCAAAAGATAGAATGCCATAATGCTATTACTTATGTATGAAGAATATGCCTTTAAAAAATATTAGTAATAAAAGTTAAGAATTTACTGATAAATTAAATACTTAAATGAAATGTGCTTATTTTAATGAATATTTTGAAAAAGAATATATTGAACCGTAAGATCCTTTACCCAATAATGATTAAGCCGGGAGCAAAACTTTGTTTGAAATTACAATTCTTCTAATTGTATTACTTTATATTTGAAAATTAATTATTAAGTTTCAATCTATATTATTATTATAATATAAAAGCCTTTTAATTTTAATCATGTTATTTAATATTTTTTATAATATTTTTATTTTTTAAAATAATAATTTGATAAATAATTAATTAAAGATATAATATTTCATTTTTAATTTTAAGATTTTTATTCCTTTTTTTTTTTTTTACATTTATTTCATAAATTAATTATTAATTAATAAAAATAGTGTTAAAAATTTAAATAAAAGTAAAAAGTATAATAAATTGAAATAAAGTAATATTTTCTTATATGAACTCTAGTTCTCAATTAAAAAATCAAGAGCAGAAATATTAAAATTATATAAATTGGTTAAAATAGAACAAAATATTAACGGATGGAATCGAATTTTATTTTTAAGATTAATTACCCTTAATTAAAACAACAAAAACAATAAATGCGTATGAAGCATTTATATGTATTCCATATAACATAATAATATCCTTATAAATGGCTAAAAAAAGTGAAATAAAGGAAATAATTAAAGAATATGACTATTTATTTAATTAGAATGATAACTATGAAGCTCATATAAACATATTAGTTTTATTTGTTATTTTAGAAAAAATGAAAGTCAAAAAAAGTAGATGGTTTGAATATTTTGAAATAGCGGAAATAACCTAAAATATGAGCAATTGGAGTATTTCTTAAATTTAAATGATAGGAGATTCATATTTATAAAAAGAAGCAGAAATAATGAAAGAAGAAGTTAAAAAAAATAAAGAAATATTAGAATTTATTTTATTTGTTTATTTAAATAAAAAAATATATAGATAAAATATTTATATGATGAATATAAGAAAATAATATATAATAAAAGTAAAATTTTTAATAAAAACGAATTTAATTCTTAAATTTTTAATTGGAGTTACAATTTCGTCCTTTCTAAATGTTTAGATTATGATATAAATGATAATTGTGCTATTATTCCTATAGAAATTAATACAAAATATCATTTTAAAGATTAAAATATATTTTAATTTTATGTAAATAAAAGTTTTGAAAATGAAAATAAATTCCATAAAAATTACATTTTAAAAAATCAATATTTGAACTTGAAGTTATTAGATATATAATTTGAAGACTCTTTCTAAAATAAAATAAAGTAATAAAAACATTTATAAAATTAACATGGTTAATAAATCATAATAATATTTATCAAAAAAAATAAAATAAAAAAGAATAATTTATTTGGAAATAAGTTTTCTCAGATTCTGAAAGTGAATAAGAATCAGAAGGTGAAGAATAAACAAGATAAATAAATACTATAAAATTGTAGGAAAATGATGTGATAAAATAAGCTTTAGAAAAAGTTAAAAAATATGAATAGATCTAAAGAAATATTGTATAAGAAAAAAACGAACAAATACACGAAAAACCTAAAATTGAAGAATAAGAAAATCTATAAAAAGAGCTTTTATAAAAAACACAAATTGAAAGAAGTTTTAACTATAAAAACTTTTCAAAAGAATTAAATGAATAATATTTAAATTGGATATCTTTAAAAGATTAAGATAATTTTTTAGTTTTTTGTTCATCGAAAATTCTATAAAATAATGAAGAAATTAAACTTTCGTTTGGTAAATGCTCAAACAGATATTTATGTCTTTATCATAGTTTAAGCTTTTCTGAAAACGAATATGATACTTATTCATTTCGAATCAAATGTGGAAAAAAAGAAGAAATCAAAGAAAATAGAATTTAAGATTTCATTTATTTAGGATATGAAGATTTTGATAATTTAACAAAAGAGTTCAAATTAAAAGTAGGAGTTTTAAATGAAGATTTTATTATTTATTTGAGAATGAATAAAATTTAATTTTATTAAGGAATAGAATAATAATAATTATTAGTTTCTAAAGCCAAAAATGTAAATTTTGAATTAAGAATATTAGAATTAGGTATTTTAATTTTAGAAAAAATAATTCAAATGAGAAAAAATGAATTTGAGGCTAATTAAATTATTTTAAATAATTAATAAAATATTTAAATTAATTAATTAAAAAAAAATTGTATTAATAACATGTTGCTATTATTACTTTTTAATTGAATTTATTTTAAATTGCTAAATTAATACTTTAAAATGTTTCTTTTTTAAAAAAAAGTAAAAGCTTTTAAGAAATTTATTTAGAGAAATTCGAATAGTTTGATTTTGATAATTTAACATTCCTTAAAAATAGGAGATATCTTAGATTTTATCTTTAATAAATTTACGAAGGAATTTATAATTAATATTGATAATAATAAAATTATATTTTAAAATTTTCTTTATATTTTTTTTATATTAATTGATTTACAATTTAAAAATAATAATTAAAAAATTAACGATTAGATCAATTATTAACATTAATAAAATTTTTAATATATTTATAGTCAAAAACATATACATATTTTTATTTTCAATAAAAATTAATTGATTGATTTATTAGCAATAAAAAAGTAAATATTTCTCTCTTATTTTAAAAATAATAATATAAATATAATTTTAAATTTAATAAAAATTCCTATCGATTAAAATTTCATCAATTTTTTTTGTTTTTATAAAAATAATTATATATAATAATCTTTTAATAATATAAAAAGAAATCAAAATATTTCTAATCACAAAAAAGAATAATACTTAAAAAAATATAGTTTATAAATGTCTGATTTTCCTGAATTTAAATGTGCTGATAGAATCGAATAAACTTGCAATCCAATTCGTAACTACGTTGAAAAAGTAATTCCAAATATAAATATTGAAGAATTTAAGAATAGTCGTCCAGCTTAGAACTTAAATCTAACTCTAGGAGACCCAACAGCATTTGAAGAATTTAAAACAGATCCTAAAATATTAGAACTATGTGCTAAAGGAGTAGGTAAAATAGATGGTTATACTGATTTTTAAGGCAAGCTAGAAATAAGATAGACTTTGGCTTAAAAATATTAATTCAATAATGGTATCAAAATAACTGAAAACGAAATTTTTTTAACTGCTGGATGTTCAATGGGAATTTATATATCTTTAACTGTATTAGCAAATCCAGGAGATAATTTTTTATTTCCTTCTCCTAGTTTTCCCTTGATAGTTACTATGGCTTCTAGTATGGGAATTAATGTAAAATTTTATAATTTAATTGAAGAAAAAGACTGGGAAGCTAATTTAGAATAGATGGATTAATTAATAGATGAAAAAACAAGGTAATTATAAATATTTAATATTTTTATTTGTTTTTGGAAAAAAAAAAAAAGATTTATTTATATATGTAATCCTTCGAATCCATTATCTTCTTTATGGAATAAAGAACATTAGTTAGAAATTTTAAAATTAGCATAAAAACATAATAATTTACCTATTGTTGCTGATGAAACATACGAGCATATGGTTTATCCTGGATTAAAATATTTCTCTTTTGGAGAGTTAACTGAATAGGTTCCTGTTTTTATTATTTCTGGTTTATCCAAAAGATGGTTAGTTCCAGGTTTTTATATTATATTATATTTTATTTTATTATTTTAATTTTTTTAAAAAAAAAAGGATGGAGAACTGCTTGGTTGATTCTAGTTGGTAAAGAAGGTGTATTTGATGAAATAAAATAAGGAATAAAAAATATTTTGAACTTTATTTTAATGCCTAATACGATTGTGGCAGGAAATTAAGTAGAAATATTAAATACTAGTAATGATTATATAGATGATAAAATGAAAAAGTGCTAAGAAAGATTTATTTTATTAAAAGAATTAACTAAAAATACTGTAGGAATTAAGCTTAAGGAATCAAAAGGAGCTTTTTATTCCGTTATTGCTATTGATTGTAATATTTTAAAATTCGAAAATTCTTAAGAATTTGCTTCTAAGTTTTTATAGGAATAAAATGTTGCAGTTTTTCCTGGGGAATTGTTTTTTGGAAAGAATTTTTTTAGAATAGTACTTTGTTCGGATTTAGATGTTATTAAAGAATTAGCAATTAGATTAAATAAATTTTGTTTAAAATATTAAAGATAGTAATGAGTTTATTATATTTATTTTTTGTTTTTCTAAACTTTTTATTTGTAGATTGAATTTATTTATTTATTTTTTAAAATAAAATATATAATAAAAATTAATAAATAATAAAAAAATTTCTTCATTTGTTTTTCTTTTTTTTTTAATTCTAAACTATTTTACGTCTTTTTGGCATGTATATAATTTAATTTGGATTTTTTAACTTTTTCACATTATATGATTTTCGATTATTAATAATTTTAACTTTTTTTTATTTTTCTTAAATGTAAAAATTTAATACATATCTAGAATAATTTTCTATTACTCTGTCTACATTATTATGAACATAATAATATTCAAAAATCTTCATTTTGTCAATAAATAAAAGGAATTATTATTTTTCTAATTAATATTATATATCATTATTATCTTTAATATTAATAGTAGCAGCAGTAGGTTAAAAATTTATATGAGTATTATTATTATTATTATTATTATTATTATTATTATTATTATTATTATTATTATTATTATATTTTTCTTAAATATTATTTATAAAATTTTCTTCATTTTATATACTTTTTTTATTACTTTATATATTTATATTTTATTAATAAGTTTCTTCGTTATAATTATTTATTTAACGATTTTTTTTTTCTCCTATTTATTCTAAAAATTACTATATTTAACTTTACATTAAATTTATATTTCTATCTCCCTTTCTTCTTTATTATTTTTTCGGTATATTCTAATTTATATTAAGTACACTATTTGTTTCTTTTACATATTAAGGTTTATCTATTATTTAAACTTCTTGTTTTTTTATTTAAAATGATTTAATTTATTTATTGTTATTAATTGAATTATTATTATTTGAATTATTTTAACTATTATTTGAATTATTATTTGTTTAGCCACTAAATTTATTTTATTTTTTATTATTACTTATTAAAATACTACTTCCATTACTTTGTTTACTAGATAAAGACTAATTAATATTTTAAAATGTCTAATTTTTAGAATTTAATTAATTATTATTTATATTTATTTAATTATCAGACGTTTATAATTATTAATAGTCTTATAATTAACTATTTTATTAACTTTTAGAACTTTCACAACTATCAAGTTACTAAGAAATTTCTAAATCTATAGATTCTTCTATTAAGATTCTTTTTAATTAATTAAAATTAATTATATTATTTAATTATAATGTATTAATATCATTTTTTTATTAATTTTGATTATATGAAATCTCCTATTGTTCTATAGATATTTTAGAAGAACTAGAAAGCGACTAATTTAAAGATTATGATTAAGATGAGGAAAGTGAAGTTTCAGAACTAATTGAGGTTTTTTTACTGATATTTTGATTTTTATCAAAATTATTATTATTTATATGAATATTACTGCAAAGTTAAATATTATTTGCTGTTTATATTCCAAATTTAGAAGTAAAATTTTTTTATTAATTAACTGTTCTTTTTTTTTGCATTTTCCTTATTTCCTTTTCAATTGAAGGGCAATTATCATTATTAATATCAATGCCACTTTTCATTTCTTCTTTAAAAGAATATTATTCTATAGCCGAATTATTACCTTCAATTTCTTCTTCTCCAAAAAGATGATTAAAAGCTTCATAATATTCTTAATAGTATTCTTCATTGTAAACTATATTTAAATTTTTTTCTAAATCTTAAAAATCTTCCTCAAATCTTGAATCTTACATTATTTTTAAAACCCAATATTATATTTCTAGACAATTTATTCTTTATTTTTTATTAACTTTCCTTTTAATACTTTGACGTTCTTTTTGAGGAATATTATATAAATATCTCTGTATTATCATATTTTTTGATAATATTAAATGTGTTTTAGGACAATTTATTGCTATATGAGTAGTTTCATTACATTATGTGCATTTTATTTTCGCACTTTTATACTATTTCTTAAACATTATATCATCTTTTATCATTTGTATTTATTAGTAATCTTTATCGTTTTGCTTTATTATATTTAAAAAATCATCTCTTCTTAATTTGTAAATTCTACAAAAATCTCCTGCTTTTGCTGTAGCTGTTCTCTTTTGCCCAGTCAAAAAAGATAATTCACCAAAACATTAATTCTTTTTAATTGTTTTTATTAATGTTTCGTTTCTTCCTTCTTGTTAACTAACATAAATTATATTTACTTTTCCTTTTACGATTTAATATAATGAACAATCATCCTAATCATCAAAATTAAATATTATGTCCCCTGGAGAAAATAAGCATTCATCCATTACATTTACAAGTGTGTTTTTTTATTCTTATAATTTTTTATAAAAAAACAAGAAAATTAATTTACCTAATTATGATATTATAGGTATTTATTATAGATATTTTCCTTGTATTTCTTACATAAGATCTTATTAAAGTTATATAGATAATTTATTAATAACTTCTTTTTCCCGTTCTTTTTACGTTTAATTGAATTCGTTATAAATATATTCTAAATAATTGCTTACCCTTATTCTCAAATCTTGACTTATTTTTTCTTAATCCATTAATTTATGAATTATTTACATATTTTCTTTATATTCTTAATTAGCTTTGTTTATATTTTATATAATATTTCCTTTAATAATATAAATATATATAAAGTAAAAAAAATATATATATACCTATTGAATTTAAACTATAAGCATAAACAATTCCTGTTTAAAACATGCAGCAAATAGAAAATTAGCATTCTAAATAGTTTTTAGGAACAACATCTCCATATCCAACAGTAATCATTGTAGCTGAAAGATAATATAAACTATAAACATATCTGGTATAAACATTAGCTTCTATAAGATTTTAAGCATGAATCCAAGTGTCTTCTCTATTTAAATATTTAATTTCATAAACAGCTTTTAATTTTATACAATATATATTTTCTTTAAAAAAAATAAAAAAAGTACCAAATCCATGCCAAAATAAACTAAAAATATGGCAAACACTTCCAATACTAACCATTAATTTAATTAAATCAAAAAGATTTTTTCTACTTGAAAAATAAAAGGCTAAGTCTTCTACTATTCCAAATAAATTAAATATCTTTAAAAAAATTGGAAAACAAACAATAAAATCATATACATGATATCCTGTTTTATAATCAATAAAAAACGCAAAAATAGTTAATTAATACATTGAAAGAAGGTCAGGTATTAAAGTTTTTTTTAAATATTTTTGAATTATTTTTGTTCTATTTAATACTAGTTCTCCTTTATGCAATATCCCTGTATTTAATGTTATTAAAACATCTGCTATAAATGAATAAAAACTAATTCTTATTATTAAAATATCTATATATGATAATTCCTTTTGAAAAAATATAACTAAACTAAATATAAATACTAATATTATAATAAATATCATTTAGTAAAATTTAAATAGAATCTTAAAAGTACCATATGGAGCTAATATTGGTATTTTATTACTAATTATTTATAAATAATTTCCTATATAAAGCAAAATAACTTTAAACATCTATTATTTAAACTTTTATTACCTTCCAAATTCATATATTGATGTAACATCACCTATTATTTAATGCTAATTCATGGACAATTTATCCAAAATTCTAACATTTTAAGTTAAACGTAAAAAAACTCGAACCAGTTTAAATAATAAACGTACTCCGCTTTTTAAAACTATATTGTTCCAAAAATTATTATATTCTTAAACTTATTTAGGATTTTCAGATTATAATATCTAAGGATAAAGATTCGAAATATTATTTAAATATTAATTTTAAATCGATTTTTTTGAAATATCACCTATATTTTTTTTTTATTAAATTTAATATAACGCAACTTTTTAATTTATTTTATCCATTTTTATATATTATTTTTTTTCTAACTATTTTTTAAAAAAATTTAATATAAATATTAATAATAAATAATTAAATGTTTTTTAAAAAAAATTTCTATTAAATTATTTTATAATTGATTGATTGTTAAAAAAATTAAATCTATAAAGTAAATAATTTTATTTATAACAAATTATTTTGATAAATAAATCTTCGATTTTAAATTAAAAAATAATTTAGTTAAAAATATATATATATATATATATATATATATTTATTATAATATAAATATAATATATTAATATTAAAATAAAAGTTTACGAATTTTAATATATAAACTGAATTTTTTTAATTTTTTTATTAAATATTTAATTTTATTAAATAATAAATAAAAATATTAATAAAGTTAAAAGTTGTTTAAAATATTTTAAATTAATAATTCAATATGTTATATTATTATAGTTTATATAAAAATATTTGATGAAGTAAAATTTAAAATATAATTAAGAATTATATAATATTATCTTTATTTTATAAATAATGAATATAAATATTTATAAATACTAAGAAAATTAATATTATGACAAATTCTACAATTAATATTTACAATTTTTTTTAATATCTAATTTAATTTAAAAAAATGTAAAATTTATATATTTTTTATAACATATATAATAATTTATTAACTTTAGTATAATAAATTTTTTTTATTAAATCATAATGTTAATATTGATTTTTTTAATTTATATATAATTTTTTTTCCAATTTTTTTTTATTAGTAAATTAATATATTTTTTGATTTATAAGACTATATTTTTTATTATTATTTATTTTAATTTTTGTATTAAATAGCTATTTATTAATTTCGTTGTATAAAATGAAAAATCATTTCTAATATTAATAATTTTTACAAATTTTCGATATAATAAAAATATAATTACAAACTTAATAGTACATTTTATAAAATTAGTAAATGAATTTAAAAATTTTAAAGATTATATATCCTTTAAATTATAAATTATAGCATTCATTTAACCTTACTAAAATATGATTTATTTATTATTAGTTGCTCTTCCTTTTTTTATTTATATTATGTAAATTTATTAATAATTAAGACTATTATTTAGTATGAATAAATTAAGAAATAAAAAATAAATTGATTACTTTAAATAATTATTAATAAAAGCATCCATTCTATTTTAAATTGTATAAAGAAATTTATATTATATGAATAATAATTATAATAAAATATTTTACAATTATATAAGTTATTGCTTTTTCAAATAAGTTTGAAAAGTAATTTAGATGACATTCTACGAAAAGTTCTTTTTTTAAACGATATTTAAATAATTTTTAAAATTATCACACAAAGTTTTTAACTTATTATATTTAATAAAATTTTCCTTAAAATAATTTATTTATTAATTTTATTTTATTTTTTTAAAAAAAAATATAAAAATAAAATAAAAAAATATTGATTAATATATATATATATATATATATATATATATATATATATATATATATATATTATATATTATAAATTATTTTATATATTAATACCTTTACAATTAATTTAATAAAAAATATAATTAAATAATATTAATTATATTTTTTATAATTTTTTTATTTCTATATTAAATTAAAAAAATCTTATGTTATCTATTTTTTCTTATATAATTTATTAAATATAAAAGTATAAAATATAAATATTTAAATAGAAATATTATTTTTAAATTCATTTTAAATATTATTTTTATTATTATAGCTGATTAAAAATTAATTTTAGAAAAATAAAATAAAATAAAGATTAAGAATATAAAAAAAAAATTCATAAAATTATTTTCTTTAATTTTTCTATCGTTTCCTATTTTTTTTAAAATAAATAAAACATTAAATTAATAATTCATTTATTAATCTCAATTATTATTTTATAAATAAATATAAAATAATTATAATTAAAACTTAATTAATATAAACAGAGTAATAGAGACTGTATATTTATGGCACATACAATTTTTATTTCATTTATTTAATTTTTTTATTAATATTACAATTTTAATTAAATGATTTTTTTTAATATAATAAAAATTATCATATTGATTTTGCAATTATACTTGTCAATATAAATAAATCTTATAATGCTCAAAATAGTATGATTTTAAACATTAGTTTAACTTAATAGGAACATGAAATTTTAGAATATTAAATTATGTTCTATGTAAAATATATGCACACGCGCGCGTGAACTAATAAATTAGTATTATTTTTTAATAATTAAAACATAAATATTTAAAATTTAAAGATTTAAAGATTTTTTAAACATAATTAATAAAATTTAAGTATTTTGATACTTAAATTAATTGCTTAGAAGAAAGAATACTAATCTTATTTAGATTAAACTAACTATTAGATTGAAGTACAACTAAAACCTTTTAAATAAATGATAATAGAATTTATTTTAAAATATATATGCTCTTTGAATTCTTTAGAAAGTTTTAAATAACTAACTTGAACATCAAGAAATTAATATTTATAATTTTTAAATTAGTTAAAATAAAGAATTGATTATGGAAAAAAAAATATGTGTAAAATTTATTCATAATAAAATTTAATATTTATTGTTTTTTAGATTAGAATTTATTGATTTTAATTAAATCTAAGTTTATAAATTTTAATTAAAAGTTAAAACTTAGCTATTAGAGGAGTTTGAAAAAAAGAAAATTGAAGTAATAAAATCTTAGTGATAAAAATAATGACGTTTAAAATCTAGAAATGTAATTGTATACTTCTTTATCATCTTTCTTTTGTTCTCTCAATAATTAAAAGGAATGTCTTTTTTTTAGAAAAATAATTAGAAGAAGTCAACTCAATATTATTTTAATTATGATTGTTTTGAGTTAATTTATAATATATATAATATAATATTTTTAAAAAGCACTTATAAACAAATAATTAATAAAAATTAATGGAATAAAAGAAAAATATTAAAATATATTACAAAAAGTTAAGAAATATTGTTTTAGTTAATAAAAAATTAAGAATAATTTATTTTAAAACTAGAAATAGTTAAATAATAAACAAATTTATTTTAATTTTTTTTTTATATATATTTAAATCAAGAAGAAATAGTAAAAATAATTGACAAGGAAAAATAAAAAATATAATACTATATTTAATTTTTAAAGAATATGTATTATATAAATGATATTTGATTTCCTGTAATAAAAAATACATTTTATATAATAGAAAACTCTGTATTAATCAAAAACGAAAGAAAGTATTTAGACTAAATTTGTTTAGTATATTTCTTTCTTTTTTTAAATAAAAAAAAAATTATAAATATTGCGTTAATTTTAAAGTTAATATTTAGAGTGAAATTCTTATCAAAAAAAACTTAAAATTAAAAATAAATAATTCGTGTTATTATGAATTATTGTTTTTAAAAAAAGGTTAATTTTTATAAGATTTAATATTTTATTTTTAATTCATTTTATTTATTGAAATTTTTTTTTTTTTTTTTTTTCATTAATATAAAGTTTAATATTCTTCCCAAAATTAATCCAAAAATGTTTTATACTTTTTTGTTTCTTAACCCTAAATTTCAATTGCGGCATTATTAGATACATTTGTTGGTGAAATTATGTTTTAATATTATTTTATGAATCTTTTTTTTATTTTTTATTTTTATTTTAATATGATATTTTATTTACTCTGTATCATAATTTTATAAAAATTTATATATATCATCATTATTTTAATAATCTCCTTTTCTTCTAGGAATTATATGCACAAAAATTTAATCGATACTATCTTTTAATTCTGGCTAATAATTCTTTATTATTTAAAAATTAATACTTTTTAAAAAATAAATATCAACAATTTACATGTATAAAAACTGTAGATGAATCTGTCATAAAATACTTTTCTAGTCCTCTTGTTAAAAATTTAATTAATAATCCAATATCATAAATCTTTTTTTATTTGTTTTATTTTCTTTTATATTTATTAAAAAAAAAAAAAAAACTTCTGAAGGTTCTAATTCGATAAAATTAGAAACTTGTCTTTTAGGTACTAATAATACATCTAAGATTTTTTATTTTATTTTTTATAAATAGAGAAGAAAAAAAGTTTTACGTCCTGGCATTAATTGAACACAAGGTATAATTGCACAAACATATTATTTTTACCATAAAACAAATTAATTAGGAATTTCAAATTGGCCTAATTTAATATTACTCATAATTAATAATTAAAATAATTAGTAATAATATATATATATATATATTTTATTTAAAAAAAAAAAAAATTATTTAAATTTTTAAAATAATTTAATATTTCTTTTTACAATGATTTTATTTTATTTTTTATAAAAAACATAAATTGAAAAAAGTAAAATTCCATGTTTAAATAAAACTTTTATCATATAGCATTTGATAATATAATTATTATTTATTTTATTTTTTAGTTTTCTAAAAAAATACATAATTATTAATATATTAATAGATTTTAGATTTAAAATCAATACAAATATTATGTAAAGAAACTATTTTTTTCTTATAATCACTAAAAGATTATTCAATTATTTAGTTTAATTTTAAATTTTTTTATATATAAATTCGAAAATATTATTCTTATATATAAAAAAAAACTTAAATTTCTAGTTTTTTATATTTTTTTAAATTAATATAACTTTAATTTCTCCATTATTGTTTTACTAATATCGATAAATTCATATATTACTATATTTCATATTGCGATTTTAATATAACTTTATTTCTGTTGTATTCTTTATATTAAAATAAAATTTTAAACTTTAATCTACTA